TCTTTGGATTAGTGTCTATAGCAGCAGTGGATTCATTTTCGGGTCGAGGAAGAACCAAATTATCTAAAATTGAAAGTTTGAAAAAACTAACAAGTAAAATCTACACGTTTCAAACGTAGTTATCAAAGAACATATCGATTTGCTGCCTGACCGAACAACAGTTGTCTTTACTTTCCGATCTATAGTTCAAGGCAACAGATACCTGTTGAACTGATGATTATTGATCTTTCTATAGATGATTGCAATATGGTTGCGTACAGTTTATAGACACTGTATGATCTTAATAGTGCCAGCGTTATCCGTTTAATAATGTTACTCAATAAACTTCGCTTAGGTGTTTATTTAGACATGCACTAATACCACAACCCTGTATTATAAGTTTCAAGAAGACCAACTAATCTATCATTCATGAAATGAAGAGCAGACATCAGGCAAAATGTGGCATCACTATAGTGACAAACCACAAGACGTAATCAAAACTGAAAGACTAATGAATCATTCGTAATCGAAATTCTCCCTGTGAGAATTTGAGTGCTGTACATTTATGTTACCACTGGCAGACAACCGTAACTTCGCTATTACTCTAGTGATGTAAGAGTCTAAACGTTCTATTCGTCTGCTTGACTCTGTGTTACGTATGCACATCAGATGACTCATGTTTCATATCTCCTATGAACTCTAGAATGTGAACTTATTTGTTTTCAGAAGTAGTCGAGTCAAACTATTTCATTTGTAAAGTTGAGATTTGTCCACCCCACTTTAAACAATTTTTGAGCGTATTTCGATGGCATAGCAAGAAAAGATCGTAAGCAAAACAGTAAAAAATAAATTCAATGTGGATAACAATTTTTGAAATGTGCTTTGCAAGTTAAAAATTCATAAACCGTAGTACCAGTTTCGTTGCTTTCTGATGTTGGAGGCCCCGGTACAGGTGTCTCGCCCGTCTTCAAGCATGTAAACAGATAACCAGCTTTCCATTTCGCATATTTCCGCGTTTCGTTCAACTGAAATTAACTAGCCAAATTTTATATCCATTGCATTGTAAATTAAACAAAATAAATAGCATATTAAATCATGAAAAGTAAGACATTTCTTGTACTGAATACTCATTTCTCGAACAGATTTAGAAGGTACACAAATTAGAATGGGTCTTCTGTGATTTTATGCAAATATGCTTGCTAGATTTTTATGATATCGTCCTCGGTTTGAACACAGAATAACAGTCTTGAAGTTTCAGCAAATACGCTCAATTTATTAAACTGTGCATTACGTCAGCATAAGACAAGATCTAGTGAATGAACTTATCCACTTCCGCAATTGCTTTCCTTGACACAGCCACACGACTGTGTTAACGCTAAATTTAACTAAGACTATATGCAAATTCACTGGTCAACCAATCATACGAGACGAGCTTGCTTCGCATGGGTTTGACAGTTAGTGAAATCGACTCTTTTCATCAGTAGGAAAATTACAGTTATTGGTCACCTTGTCATCCAGTTCGCCAAACAACGTCAAGATGTCGAACAAATGGCCAGCGGTGTAGAACGCCTTGATGGTGTTCCTATAAAACAAGGAGATAAAACCAACGGTAAACAAAACCTAACTCCAAGGGGTCTGACTTGTTGAAGCGCGATGCGCGGTCTTCATTGTCAGCGAACATGAAAAGCTTTAAAGCGTACTGTTCGATGTGCGCCTGGGCGACAACTTCGTTCAGCACAGTTTCGTTGTTCTTCAGCTGAACCTTGAGCTGAAATCAATCTCTGTATCGGTATAATAGAGGCAGGGAAAATACCACGACGTACATTTTCCAACAACTTCATTTTTTCGCTAAGGAATTGAATGCATTCCGGCAGTTTTCGATCAATTTGCATTGCAGACTGCACCAGGTAGAATAAACCTTTAAAAACCAAGCATTATTTAATTCATTCAAATTTATTAGACAGAGAACAGCCTAAATTTTTATTACATATTCTCGTTGTTTATGTCATTCATCACAGTTTACTGTAGACATGAAAAAATTTGTACTGCCCCTACAAAGAGCTACCTGAAAAATTCTGTTGTTTTCATAGGACATTGTTCTTTTTCAACTACGCTCCACCATAGCAGTATATTCAGACAAAGACTCCTTTGGCCATGAATTTCTGTAATAACACTGAAAAGGTCGAAATTACTACCAAATTAATGACAGATGTCATTATCCGGTAACTGTACTGAGAAGGGCAGTATTAACATTGCTTCCATCTAGCCATCGTCGTGTGGAACTTACATAATGCCTATTCGGCTCGAACAAAAAAAGAAAAAAAAGACAGGAAAAAAATGAATAGATACACGGTGTGGAGAAGCAGGAAAAAATCTGTAAGAAACATAAGCAATTTATTAAGGTAGACTATGGGGGACAAACACTGGCAAAACATTTATCCATCAGTTTTTCTGACGCTATACGAGAAAAAATATTAATATCTTCAAACACAGAGGAGAACCACAATAGGGAGTAAGAATAGAGCAATTCACCACTAGTTTTAGTTTAAAATTACTTTAGAAAGTACGCATACTCCAATAATAAACAGCGGGATCGCGTTGGATATGTTCATTAGACAGCTTCAGATAATGTCCGAGTGACTTGTACTTCTCCGGAAGAGCAGTCATTCTGTTCACCCTGCAAATAAATGCAAAAAACGATAAAAATTCATGTAAAAGCAAATGAATGGATAAAATATAAATGCTGCAAAGCCAACTAATCAGAAACGCAGTAATAGAGTAACAGGTGCTCAGAAGTAGTTTCTTATGACAGTCCAAAATACATTTTCTGAAAACAATTTTTTTTACCACTTTGAATTTCAGTTTAACCTAGCTCTATCTTCAATTAATTTACGCAAAGGAAGGAAGGAAAGCAAAGATTGTAACCGTTGAAATGTCAGTCGTCTCAACGCTTTCATGATGGGGAAATTTCTTGTTTTGATGGAGTTAATGAAGTGGCGATCTCAAGTTCATCAGAAAAAGTAACTTATCTTAAAGGCAAAGTTTATGGCAATATTACAAGCACAGTGCGCAGTCAATTATTTCCTTCCACTAGATAGTAGTCGTTTATGTACCTTGGAAAGGAGAAAAGCGAGTAATCCAACTGGGACTCCAACTTGGGACCCTTACGTTCCTACTCTGACGACTGAGTAACCGAGGTGGGAACCAACGTGGGGCAAATTC